TCAATCAAAGTTATTTCTGCCATCAGCATGTCACTGAGTGTTGTAGGCCTCCAGCTTACTCTTTGTGCCTTCATAGGATACCACATCTTTCCAGTGCAAGCATCTATTTGATCTGTTACTGCTACAGTGTCTTGCTGAGTTCAATGGCCATAAACATTACTGTACTCCACCTCACTTGTGAAGAACCCTGCAGTTGATTCTTGAGCTTATTTGCAGACAACTGTTTGACAAACTTTTACTTTTATAATTGCTACATTTTTGTACAAAGCCCATTAGTGCCAGCCCTTGATTAAAATTGCTGAGGTAAACAATGACCTTTTTAAGGCTCTGTTTGCTACTATATTCAAACATCCTGAACATGTAGTCAGTATCTCCTGCTGAAAGCCAATTAGTGAAGCAAAAGCCAGAACTATAGCATTTATTCTCTTCTCATTCTCAAGTCAACAACAGAATTCTTGAGACAGCACCTGAACAATGACATAAGATTAGAGTTAACAAGTTGTGCTTTATCTGGATCTCAGACCTGTGATCCAAGCAAGGTCAAAAATAGCTGTTATTTAATAACACACTTGTGACTTTGAGCTGAAGTTCTTTCTCCCCCCAAGAAAAGTTAAAGTTCTGTAGAATAGCCAAAGCTCTAAGAATTTGAAATAATAGCTGTTATACTCCCAACAAAATTAGAGAGCCCAGATTAGGAAGACATTGAAGAGGAAATGCAGATGACTTCTAGAAATCAAACGGCAGGGAAAAAGCTGCTAAATTTAGGGAAATATAGCAAATTAGTGCATCTTATTAATCATGGATCATCAAAATAAGTAATCATATCAGTGCCCTTATTAATCCAGAGGATGATGTAGTCTTTATAGGAGTGAAGAAGAGCACTCTAACACAGTATTGGCCCAACCTTCTGGCCCTGTGCGTACCCAGATCTGGCTGAGCTAGCATACAGGGCTACATTATCTACCACACAGATCTGGAAATTTGGGAGCAGCGGAGGGCAATTAACACTGCTTCTAAACTTCCAGACCTGTGGGGAGCCCTGCAGGCTGGATCTGGCATGTGGGCTGTAAGTTAAGCACCACTGGTCTAACAGATCATCACTTGTAACATTTACTTGGGTTGATATAAAACTGAGCTGAGTCTTCCAGAAATACTATGTAATACAACTATCATGAATGTAAACAATATGAATCAAGAGAATGTCTGCTGTCCATCTCCCAGTGCTCATTCCTGCAATGCTAGTAAATCTTCCTTTTAAAAGAGCATTAATGTTGGAAGGTTAGACTAATTCCAGTATTCTTGAATGATTTGATACAAGGAGGATCTTCTCATTAGTAAATACAGATCCAGTTTCCTGGCAGCTCAACTTTCCATGGCACTGATCTCACATTGAGTAGCTATACATTTCTCTTGTGCCCACTAATTTCAGAGCCTCAATAGGATGCTATGAACTGACATAATAAATTATAACTAGTGGGAACAGAATTTTGAGTTACAGAATAACTTCTTTAATTCTGTTAGGCAACTACCTGTATCTAAGAGAGAACCAGAAAATTGATCTCCTGCAGCTGGTATTTCTAACAATATTTATTCAAATAAAAAACATATCAGAACACAAAAATGAAGATTTGGTTTAGGGAGTCAGAGACCACCTGGAGGGGAGTGGCAACGTACGCAGCTTCTCGGACTTCTCTGTTTCCAAGTGCCTAGTGGCTTTTCCCTTCTGTACCCCCACTCCCTCCTACAACCACTATGCTCTTGAAAGTGATCACTTTAAGTATGCAAAAAAGCCTTCCAGACTCTTTTTCACTAATTCATATTAGAGGAATGCAATCTTTCCTCTTCAAGTGCATTCTTAGTCAGTTTCTTTAAGTAACTGCAGTACTGAATATGCCTTTTTTTAAGCACTTTGCTTTGTTTCATGAATAAGCAGTTGATTGCATGAGGGAGCTCTAAGATGAGTGTAAGATGGGAACTATTGCTTTTTTATCAATCGTTAACTTAAAATAGGATAGTGTCAGCCCATGGACAGTCTGCTTCAAGAGCAAAGAACTGATAAAAATCTTGGAACAATCAAGATGATAGAGAGAACCCAGGGGAGTGGAATTCATTCTTGTATTGCTGCCACTTCATTGTACAGGAATGGATTGAATGGTTCCCACAGAATATTCCCAGTGCAGGCAGTCTTTTCAGATTTTCACCCTGCCTACAGAGGAGTCTAGTATTTGGGCGATTGCTCTATGGTAGACAGGGGGACAAGGATTCTCCAGCTGTGATGATGGCCAGGGTGCCATAGCAACACCACAATCAAAGATGCACAAACCATTCTCTCAATCCCCATGCCAGGCTCTGCGCCAACATAATAATCAATTTGGTTTACTTGTAATTTTTATCCCTGCATATGCTTAGGATTAAGACACCTCTTGCTGGAACAACCATATAAGCCTCTGGAAAGGAAGTTGTGTAAATACATTTATCTGAGTGATCAAACACTTTAGCCACCTCTTCTAGGCTCCAAAAAGAAAAATACAGGGTTTTTTTGCTTATTTGTGGAGGAAACCTTTCAGGGTGTGTTTTCTCTCCCTCTCTCACACACTAATATTCAAATTATAATAGTTTTTATTCTGGTTATTTTTTCTTTTCTTTTTAGCATTATAAATCTGGGTCTTGTCAAGACTGGAAGAAAACTGAAAAACTATTGCAGTGTCACAGAAACAGGAACCAAAAGAGCAAGTTAAGAAAATGAGAAAGGGAGAGATTTTTAGTTAGACTGTCCAAAACTTTAAGAGTGTCTGGTGGTAGACCAAAGGTGCTCAACACCCAGCCTGCATGTCAGATGCAGCCCCTGGTGCCATATAAACTGGCCTACAGGGCTCCCCATGGATTCTGTGGGGAGCTCTCTGGGCCATGAACCTGCACACTAGATCAGGCATGCAAAGCAGTGAGTCAGTGCAGGGTCCCTGCAGCCCAATCCCACCTGGACAGGGGTGCTGCAAAGCCCCATAGCCCTTCTGCTTGGCCCTTATGTGCTGGGATTGGGTCCCAGGGATATGTCACCACCCCAACCCTCCACCTGGCTGGGATCAGGCTCTAGCTAGGTAGAGGTGGCATGGGGCCTGATTTAGCCTGTAGACTAGTCCTGTGCCATTCATCTGGCCCATGGGGCCAAAACTATGAGCACCATTGGTGTAGGCTAATATCCAGCCCTTCAGTGACAGTATTAGAACTTACATTACTCTACGTTTGAGAGGTTTCTAACTGGCGCTCAACAAAACTGCTTTGAAAAGTATACCCTGTACAGCATCCTGTAAGTGGTGTCTTGTGATGTGTTATAGTATCGGAGTAGTTTAAAATCATACATTTTTAATCATATTTTAACAAGCAAGAAACGTTGATTTAAAACATATTTTACTCTTACTGGGCACACCTACACTAGATGGTAGGTGTGCCCAGTTGTCCTTAATCCTTCCCGGATTAAGGACAACAAGAAGTCCTTTTTTAAATACATAGGGAGTAGAAAGAAGGCCCCAGGAAATGTGGGGCCCTTGCAGGACAAGACGGGGAACCTGGTTGTCACACCAGACGACAAAGCCAACATATTTAATAACTTCTTTGCCTCTGTCTTCCTCAGTAAGGACCAGAACTGCCACCTCCCTGCTGGGCCCCCTT